CCACCTTAACCACCACACCACCTACCGGCCCCCTGAGGGGTCTTATTGTCTCCATGATCATGAGGCTCAGGAAGCATGTCACTTGCCCACAAGGGGCTGGGCCAGTATCTAAGTTCAAGTCTGTTTCTTTTTAAAGAGGTTTTTGCCTTAGGGTGCATGCGTTCACCAGAGAGAGACAGAGATAGTGAGAAGAAAAGTGAGAAATCACCCCCCAGGGGGATGGCCAAGCTGCAATCCCTTTTCCTCCATTCTCCTCCTGGGATCTTAGGCATGCATGTACACACACCCAGCATGATTTTCAAGCCTCTGGAGAAAAGGAAAATAAATAGGAAAACAAAACGAAACAAAAACAAAGAAGAGAGAGAGAGAAAGACAAAACAATAAGAAAAAGAGAAGAAAAAAAATTTTGTCAAAAAATGAAAACCGCACACTCAGAACTCAAATATAAATGGCTGCTGACTGGCTTATCCTATAGGGGCGGGGGGAAGGTAAGAATTAGAAAAATAAAAGAGCAGCAGAGTGCTAAGTTTAAAAAGTAAAAATATATATGTATTAAAAAGAGAGAGCGAGAGATGGAAGAGACAGAGAGAATAAGTAGGGTACTGTAACTGGTTCCTGGCTAGCCTGAGGAGCAGGAGGGTGAAGTCTGGGCAGAGGGTCTTCGGTGGTTGAAATTCCTGAATGAGGACGCTCAGAACTCAAATACAGATGGCTGCTGATTGACTTATCCTGACTCCTGGCTTGACTGGGGAGCAGGAGGGTGAAATCTGGGCAGAGGGTCTTTGGTGGTTGAAATCCTATCTCGTATAATCTTCACAAGTATTTTGAAACATTAATAAATATTTTTCCCATTTTTGAGATAGGGCTATTGAGGCCCAGAGAGTAAGTCACTGCTCAAAGTCACAAGAGAAGTAACTGTCCAACCCTGATTCCATGTTCTTCCCCTAAAGTTGTTTGGTAAATATTTCTGAAGTATCATTGTTGCTGTGATTCTGTATTCACTCTCTTTAATCGAAGACTAAAGAAGTTAAGCCTGGACCAAAATAGGATTTGCCGGATCCCATACCTACAGCAGGTTCAGCTCCGAGACGGCTCAGGGGACTGGGTGGGAGGCAGGGGAAGTCCTCACAAAAGGCCCCAGTCAATGCTGCAGCCCAAGTCCTGGATGTTTGAGGCCTCAGAGGAACAACCGGATTATACTGTATTGCCCATGAAAAAGGACGTCGACCGGACAGGTGAGTAAGGCCCCTTGTTGCAGAGAGTAGCCCAATAATGGGAATAACTTTCTGAGAGTTTATTCTGAAAGTCTGTGGCTCCCTGGAGAACTGCTGTATTAAAGCTGAATTTTTCAATAACATAAAATATTTCAGTGACCCCCTAACTGGCTCTATCAGTTAAGATGGTTTTGGGACCAGCTAGGTGGCATAGTGATTAAGGTGGCTGGATTTCATATGGCCAGCCACCAGCACGGGTTGAGTCTTGGACTCAGCAGCTTGAAAAATATGCCAGGTGCATCTGAGTGTGTGTCCAAAATTCCCAGAGGAGAATGGAAGAGAAGAGAAGAGATTATGGCATGGTCATCTCCTCCACTGGGGATGATTTATCTCTCTATTTCTCTCTCTCTTTCTCTCTGGCAAGTACATGTGAGATTATAGCAAATATAAAAAAAAAAAATTGAGATAATTTTGCGGCCCAGCCATGGTGGCACAGAGCACCACTGTAGTACAGTGCTGGAGCCATGTGGGAAGATATCCTAAATATCCACAGATTGATTGATTGATTGATTGATTGACTGATTGATTGCCATAGGGCACAGGCATTTACCAGAGAAAGACTGAGAGAGGGAAAGTGAGGAATCACCCCCAGGGGGATGACCATGCTTCAGTCCCTTCTTTCTCATTCTCCTCTCGGGATTTTGGGCATGCACACATACACACCTGGCATGTTTTTCAAGCTTCTGGGTCTGGGACTCAAACTGTGGTCAGCCACATGGGATCCAGCCCCCTTAACCTCCACTCTACTTGCTGGCCCCAACCTGTAAATTTGGGAGGAACCCCACCATTCAGCCCTTAGGGCTGCTGACTCAGTTTCCGTAAGGGACTCTTGCTGTTTAACTTCTTATTCCCATGCCTGACCTTTCTTCTCCCCCTTGTGATTTTCAGGAGAAAATGTCACAGCGGCTTTCCAAATTCAGAGGATGAGTGAGCCGAAAGGCCCTTTGGTAAGAACTGGTGGGTGAGATGTGGAGAGACCCCTGGTTTGTACGTGATCTTTGTTTTTTTCTGGCTCCAGAGTGAGCAACTGATGGGACTGTGGAGAGAGCCCTCTGGACAACTAGGCAAGAAAAGAAACTGCTCACAAGAACAGATACTAGCTTGAATGGCCAGCCAGGCTTCAGGCTCCATGCTTGTCTCATCTCATCTGCTCCTCAGGGCACCTCTCCTGAGGGGTCTTTTTATTTTTTAAGAGTTATTTTTTGTTTAATTTTACTCGTTGTGATTATTTTATTTTTATTTATTTCTATTTTTTTGAAGTTGATTAGAGAGAGAGAGAGAAGGAAAGTGAGAAAGCAAGCTGCCAGGTCCAGGACTCAAACTGTGGTCAGCCATGTGGGAGTCCAGCCACCTTAACCACCACACCACCTACCGGCCCCCTGAGGGGTCTTATTGTCTCCATGATCATGAGGCTCAGGAAGCATGTCACTTGCCCACAAGGGGCTGGGCCAGTATCTAAGTTCAAGTCTGTTTCTTTTTAAAGAGGTTTTTGCCTTAGGGTGCATGCGTTCACCAGAGAGAGACAGAGATAGTGAGAAGAAAAGTGAGAAATCACCCCCCAGGGGGATGGCCAAGCTGCAATCCCTTTTCCTCCATTCTCCTCCTGGGATCTTAGGCATGCATGTACACACACCCAGCATGATTTTCAAGCCTCTGGGTCCAAAACTTGAACAGAGTTTGGCCATGTGGGAGTCCAGTGATGGAACTACTATGCCATCTGTCGGCCCCCAGGTCTGTTTCTTGAGGGGCCTTCATGACAGAGCTCCTCCGCCTTTAAGGTTTCCGAATCACTTGGGAGAGCTCGTTCAAATGCTCACTTTGATCTGCCAGGTCTGGGTGGGGCCTGAGGTGCTACGTTTCCACCGAGCAGCAGGTGGCATTGCAGACACAGAAATGCTGACAGTGCTCTGAGTCAGGAGGCTTGATGCCGTGCATGCGGGCTGCTGGGAGGAGAAGCAGCAAGGTCGGGGCAGGTGTGAACCACCGACCGGGTTCTCTGTGTGCCTTTCCCTTCTTCAGCAGAGCTGTTGCACCAGCGCAGTGTGAGGGTCGTATCCTGCACTCTCTGCAGCAGGTCAGACCCGCACACAAGCCTTATTTGCACAACAGCTTTTCTGCACCTGGTCTCTGCTCAGTGAGCCGCACGGAGCCTGCACTCACAGGCTTTGGGTGGAGCTGTTTCCTGGAACCTGAAACAAGAAGGCGCCTCCGTGATCCATATTTCTTTCTCCTTCTCTAAGAAAAAGGCCAAGACAGACGTGTTCGGGGTCCACTCTGCAGAATACCTGGACAGGGCCACCTCATTATAAGTCAACCTGAGATCTGAGAATTCGGATTCACACAGAGAGTGAATTTGGAGCCCATTATTTTATATGTTTTTTATGCTCGAGAGAGATGGGGGTGGGCAGGGAGGTGTCTTCCACAGGGTCTAGTCCTGCCCCAGCCTCAGGCAGGCCAGGATCATGAACGTACACTGCCATGCCTGCTGTGTCCAAGTGGGACCAGGACCTGAATCCAGGTCTTCCCTGGGGCTCTAGTGTGACATCGTACTGCCTGTACCACCGTGGCTGGGCCTGTGAGAAGTTTTTTTGTTCAGTTTCTTTTTTATTTTTAATTTTAAAAATTTTATTTATTCATTCATTCATTTTAATTTGACCAAAGAGAGACAGAGAGAGAAAGTGACAAAGCAAGCCACCAGGTCCGGGACTTGAACTGTGGTCAGCCATGTGGGAGTGTCCAGCACCTTAACCACCTTGCCATCTGCTGGTTTCCTGTCCAGCAAGACTTTCCTACTCTGTGTGTGTGTGTGTGTGTGTATATACAATTTATTTATTTTTTCTTTTTAATTTTGCCAGAGGGTGTGTGTACTTGCTAGAGAGAAACAGAGATGAAGGAAAAGGAGAAAGCCCCCCCCCCCCCCAATGCAGTCAGTCCACAATCCCTTCTGTTTCTCCTTCCTTTCGAGGCTTTGGGCACACACGTACATGTATCTGCATGCTTTATAAACTTCTAGGTTTAGGACTCAGACCACAGAGTCGGCTGTGTGGGATCCAGCCACCTTAACCACCAGGCCATCAGCTGGTCCTCTACTATATTTAAACAGGATAGGTTAACCAAAACAAAACAAAACAAAACACTTGTGTTAATTTTTGCTGTAGGATACATGTATTCACCAGAGGCAGAGAGAGGGAAGGTGAGAGCACACCCCCCCCCCTTGGGGGATGGCCACACCGCAATCCCTTCTCCTCCATTCTTCTCTCGGGATTTTGGGCACACATGCACACACACCAAATGTGTTTTTCAATCTACTGGGTCCAGGACTTAAACTGCACTGTCAATATGAGGGATCCAGCCCCCTTAACCTTCATGCTGTCTGCTGGCCCATAAAAGTTTTCGGAAATACTTGCATTGTGTAAGATGAGGTCTCACTTAGGGTCGGTACCAGAGGGCTGAGTAAAGGCTATTACTGGAAGCCTTCCTTGGGCCCCCAGTAGGGTTAAGCAGAGCGTGTCAACCCCCTTTTCCAGCTGTTCCTTTGTGGAGCAGGTGGAACAGTATGAGAAAGGCCCAGCATTGGAGGCCAAAAGGCCATCCTGAGCTCCATGTCCTCTCTTTTCAGGTCAATTCTGAGTTCTATACTGGCTGGTTAGACCACTGGGGCCAGCCTCACTCTACAGTCCAGACTGAAGCGGTGGCCTCTTCTCTCTATGATATACTCGCCCACGGAGCGAACGTGAACTTGTGAGTGCTCGTGACCTGCGGGGAGGGCGCCTTCACCAGCCGTGAGCTCATGGTGAAACGCGCATGTTCTCTTGTTTCCATATAGGTACATGTTTATAGGTGGGACCAATTTCGCCTACTGGAATGGTAAGAGTACTTCAACTGCTGCTTGTAGATGCGTCCGCGAGGATGGTTTTGGTGCTTGATATTTGGGGCCTATGCCTACAGACAATTTCTGTTTTCTGTTTTTATCTTCTACATTTTCTAATATGTAAGCATTATCCATTTAATATTTTCTTTTTTGAGATTTTTGCTATAGGATGTGTGCACTTGCCAGAGAGACAGAGAGACAGAAAGTGAGAAATCACTCTTTTGGGGGATGGCCACTCTGCAATCCCTTCTCCTCAGTCTCCTCTTTGGATCTTGGGCACCCACGCACATGCACCCAGCACGAGTTTTAAGCCACTGGGTCTGGGACTCAAACCACAGCCAGTTATGTGGGAGCCCAGCAACGTAACCACTATGCCATCTGCTGGTCTCACCCATGTAATTTTTTTTTGAAGAGGTTTTTGCTAAAGGGCGCATGCGCTCGCCAGACAGATAGAGAGAGACAGAGAGACAGAAAGTGAGAAATCACCCACCAGGATCATGACCACGCCGCAATCCCTTCTCCTCCATTCTCCTCTCGGGATCTTGGGCACGCACGCACATGCGCCCGGCGTGAGTTTTAAGCCACCGGGTCTGGGATGCGAGCCGCAGTCGACTACGTGGGAGTCCAGTGACATAGCCATTACGCTAACTGCTGGTCCCTCGCCCATGTAATTTTTAAATAACTTTTTAGATTTTTGCCCTGTGGCATGTGCACTCACCAGAGACAGAAAGAGAGAGGGAAGTGAGAAATCACCCCCAGGGAATTAGCCACATGGTGATCCCCTCTCCTCCATTCTCTACTTGGGATTTTGGGCAAGTATGCACATGCACCTGGCATATTTTTCAAGCCACTGGGTCTGGGACTTGAACCACAGAATCAGCCATGTGGGGTACAGCACCTTAACCACCATGCTATCCGCTGACCCTAAAAAGCAAGTATTTCTTTTTTTATTTTTGCCACAGGGCACGTGCATTTACGTGAGAGAGAGACATAGACAGAGAAACAGAAAGTGAGAAATCACCCTCTGCGGGGGATGGCTGCAATGCCATCCATCCTCCCTGTTCTCCTCCCGGGATCTTGGGCACTTATGCACATGTGCCCAGAGTCCGTTTTAAGCCACCAGGTCTGGGACTCAAACCACGATCAACTACATGGGAGTCTTGAAAAACACCGGGGCAAGGGTGATCACACTCCAATTCTTCCTACTTCATTTCTTTAACTGTCAGGATATGGGACACACATGCACACTCGCTGGTGTGTTTTTCAAACTGTCAGGGCCAAGATTGGAACTGTGGTCAGTTGTATGGGATCCAGCTCCTCTAACCACTAGGCTATGGGGCCACCCTGGAGACCATCAATTGTTAACAACGTTCCTCTTTTGCTATGTCAAGAGAAGACATTGCTTATAGGATTATTAATTTTGGGACCAGCAGATGGCATAATGGTTATGTCACTAGAATCCCACAGAGTCAACTGCAGCTTGAGTCCTGGACCCGGCAGCTTCAAACCCATGCCAGGTGCATGTGTGCCCAAAGTCCAAAAAGGAGAACGGAGAAGAAAGGATTGCAGTGTAGCCATCCCCCCTGGAGGGTGATGGCTTGCTTTCTGTCTCTCTATCTCTCTCTCTGGTGAGTGCATGCACCCCTATAGCAAAAATCTTATTTTTAAAAAAGATGATCAATTTTATTATTATTATTAAATTCAAGATAGGAAGGTATTGGGACCAGCAGTTAGCGTAATGGCTATGTCGCTGGACTCCCATGTTGTTGACCGCAGTTCGAGTCCCAGACCCGGCGTCTTAAACTCGTGCTGGGTGCGTGTGCATGCCCAAAATCCTGAGAGGAGAATGAAGGAGAAGGGATTGCGGCGAGGCCATCCTCCCAGGAGGTGGTTTTTCACTTTCTATCTCTCTGTCTCTATCTGTCTGTTGAGCACACATGCTCTATAGCAAAAACCTCTTAAAAAAAAAAAAAAATAAAGAATAGCTGGGTGAAAAAAAAGAAAGGTCACACATTTCCTGTTCAGCTGGCAAGAGGTGGAGCCTGGACTCAAACTCAGACCTTGGTAAGCTAGAGTCCCTGCCCTTTGGATAACCCCTTGCAACCCGAAGTCCCTGAGCCAGCCCCCGGACACCCCCGCTCATATCTGCCAGGTCTCTCTGAACTTTCCCTTTGGCCTGGTCTCTGGGGGAGTGAGGAGGGGCAAGTCCTACCTCTCAGCAGCTGTTCTCTGGCCAGCTTCCCGGAGAGAGAGAGCAGAGCTCTTGCCCACCTGCCACACCTGCTGGTGTAGGCTGTGCTCCGCTACTGCGCACCTGCGCGCCCACGTCTGCATGGTGGCTGTCTGCAGGCTCCTGCCCATCTGTGCATCTCACACGTGGAGAGCCGATAAGGGCTGAGTCTCCCCATTTCTTGTGCTCTGCTCTCTCACACTCTCTGCGCTGGCCAGAAGACGCTAGAAGGCTGGACGATGCACTGTTTCCAATACTGCCCTTGGGAGTCTGAGAGACCCAGAGTCAGATTCTGCTGGTGGAACCCAAACCAGTCCCTCCTCTAACCCACAGGCCAGTTTCCTAGCTGGAGTCCCCTCCACGTGGAAAATGTGTTTCTGGAAGCCATACTTGTTCAACTCAGGTTGGTGCTGCTCCTTGAATTCTGTCCCCAGGCCTGGCTCTGGCTGAGGACTCAAGGGTAAGAGAGAGACAGTCTCTCCTATAAGTTACACGGTTTAGTGTGGAAGGAGACATGGAAAGAAGAAATAGGGCAGGACCAGCAGATGGCATAATGGCTATGTCTCTGGACTCACATGTAATCAACCATGGTTCGAGTCCCAAACCCGGTGGCTTAAACTCACAATGGGTGCATCATGTGTGTGCGTGCCCAAGATCCCGAGAGGAGAATGGAGGAGAAGGGATTGCCGTGTGGCCTTCCCCCCTAGGAAGTGATTTCTCACTTTCTGTCTCTGTCTCTCTCAGTCTTTCTGGTGAATGCACACACCCTATAGCAAAAACCTCTCAAAAAAAAAGAAGAAGAAGAAGAAGAGACAGGGCAGCATAGGCTCTGCCACAGGAGAGGTGGGGAGGACGGCAGAGCAGGTGAGCTCTTGCAGCAAGGGATGTGGTTTTCTTTTTTACGCATCTCACAGGAAGGGATGTTTTTTCTGACACCCTGCTGTAGGCTGCATATTCTCGCCAGAGAGAGACAGATGGAAAGTGGGACTGTGGCCACACAACAGTCCCCTCTTTTCCATTCTCCTCTCAGGACTTTGGGCACACACGCCCACACCCCCATGTGTTTTTTTTGTTTGTTTGTTTTTTGAGAGGTTTTTGCTATAGGGTGCATGCACTCGCCAAAAAGAAACAGAGAGACAGAGACAGAAAGCGAGAAATCACCCCCCAGGGGAATGGCCACGCCCAGTCCCTTCTCCTCCATTCTCCTCTTGAGATCTTGGGCACGCACGCACATGCGCCCGGCATGAGTTTAAGCCACCGGGTCTGGACTCGAACCACAGTCAACTACATGGGAGTCCAGCGACATAGCCATTACACCAACTGCTGGTCCCCCCAGTGTGTTTTTTAAATTGTTGGCTGTGTGGGACCCTGCGCCTTACTCACCCGGTCACCTCCTGGCCCAGAAGGGATGTATTCTAACGCGTGCATTCCCTGAGAAGGGGGGCCTGTGGTGTGGTGGTTAATGCAGCTGGATTCCATATGGCTGACCATGGTTCAAATCTTAGTCCCTATTTTGATCAACTTGACCGGGGAGAAATGTTCACATATTGAAATATTCACTTTGTAAGCTAAATAACGTGATTGAATGTATATTTAAAAATTAAAATTAAAAAAAAAACATGCAGAGCATGTATGTGTATACCCCAAAATCCCAACAGGGTGGAAAGTGGAGAAGGGATTGCATCATGACCATGCCCCACTGGCGCATGCTCGCTCCCTCTCTCTCTCTCTCTCTCTCCCTTTTTCTCTGTATCTCTCTGGCAGGTGCATGCACCTTTTTTAAAAAGAATTATTTACCAATTATTTATTTAGATATTTATTTATTATTTTAATTTGACCAGAGAGAGACAGAAAGAGAGAGGGGAAAGTGAAAAAGTAAACTGGCAGGCCTGGGACTCAAACTATGATTGGCCATGTGGGAGTCTAGTACTTAACCACCATGCCACCTGCCAACCCCACACGCACCTTCTAGAGTTTACAAAACATGTTTTTAGTAGGAAAAGTGATATGATTGGATCAATCCAATTGGTTGAGGGGTCAGGGTCTTTAAACTTTAAATTCTGTGTGAAGAACTAATGAAAAACATCTTTGGGGGCTGATTGATCCTCATCCTCATTCATCTGTGAATTCTGTCACCAATAAGGTCACCCAGGGAGGGGCCATCATTCATGAGCTGTGTCCCAGGAGTTTATACTAATCTCAGCTGAACTGTCACATTTTATGCCTCATTTACTTACAAAATTGAGTTGGACAAAAGATTATTCCGAGCTGGCCCCATGACTTTCTAGTTAAGACAGCAATATGGCTGAATGCAAGACTTGAATCCCAGCCACAGTGACTTGAAAAACACACCGGACAGGGTACATACATGCCCCGAATTGTGGCAGAACGGAGAGAGAGACTAGAAAGAATTGTAGGGTGACCACACCCCACTGGGGAATGCTTGCTCTTCTTTCTGTGTCTCTCTGGTGAGCTATGTGTCCTCTGGCAAATTTTTTTTTTTAAAGATTATCCCACATGGGGCCAGCAAATGGCATGGTGGTTAAGGTGCTGGACACTCCAACATGGCCGACCACAGTTCGAGTCTCGGACCAGGTGGCTTGCTTTCTCACTTCCTCACTTCTTTCTCTCTCTCTCTCTCTGTGTGTGTGTGTGTCTGGTCAAATTAAAACAAATGAATGAATAAATAAAATTAAATAAAAATAATTAAAAAAAAGAAAAGAAAATTCCATGCACAGATTTTTGTGAGGAAATATATTAAAAAAAAAAAAAAAAAAGACTATCCCACAGGCCACTAGGTGGTGTGGTGGTTAAGGTATTGGAACCACATAGGGCCAACACCTTGTTTGAAAATCACGCCAGGTGCATGTACGTGCATGCCCGAAATCCCAGAGGAGAATGGAAGAGAAAAGATTGTGGGTGGCCATCCCCTATGGGGGGTGATTTCTCACTTTCTCTCTCTGTCTCTCTCTAGTGAGCGCACACACCCCAAAATGTAACATAGATGGTGTGGTGGTTAAGGCGCTATATATTTCCTAAAATAACTTCACTCTCAGACACTTGCGTTGCAAAATTCCCTCTGAAGTAGGAGAGAGAGGCACTAGCCAAACCTTGCTGATCCCCCGACAGCAGCACTAGCACCACCTGGGAGCTCATAAGCATTGCAGAGCCTCAGGGCTCACCGCTGACCCGCTGCATCTCTGGGGTGGGGCTTAGGAGTCTTTCTGATTTTTTAAGAGAGAGGTTTTTGCTACAGGGTATGTGCACTTACCAGAGAGACAGAAAGCGAGAAACCACCCCACTGGGGATAGCCATGCCGCAATCCCCTCTCCATTCTTCTCTTGGGATTTTGAGCATGCATGCACATGTGCCCAGCAAGGAGTCTTTGTTTTAACGAGCTCTCCCTGTGACTCTCATGCCCGGGGAAGTTTTCAAAGTCGGCCCCACAGTGCAGATAGCCTCAAACCTGGGAACATTGTCTATGACGAGGGTGGGAGCCTCTGTAGACCCTGTCCCTTGGACAGTAACTGCAGAGTCTTTTTGAAGCACAGTGTTGGCATCACTCATTGGTCTTGCTGGAGGCCACGTTACCAGGAAAACAGATGCCAGATTACCCAAGAGTTTACTGCGTGTGATCTCAGTAACAACACCTGTAAGAGAGCGTGGGAGGCAGGACTGAGGGAGAACTTGGGCTGGGAGGCAGTTCCACTGATGGCCTAAGCCAATTCTACTGAGTCATTGGAAAAGCCATGACATATTTGAATGAAGTCGTGACTTTTCCAACGACCCAACAGAAGGAGCTCTGGAGCCTGGCTGGTCTGTTGAGGCCAAGTGACCATTTCTGTTGTTGTTGCTGTTTTTTTGTTTGTTTGTTTGTTTTGTTTTGTTTTTTAGATTTTTGCCATAGGGCACATGCACTCACCAGGGAGGGAGACACAGAGACACAGAAAGACAGAGAGAGGGAAAGTGAGAAATCGCTCCCCAAGAGGGATGGCCACACCACAATCCATTCTCCTCCAGTCTCCTCTTGGGACTTTGGGCAGATATATATATATATATATATATTCCAGACGTGATTTTAAGCTGCTGGATCCAGGACTCATACTGCAGTCAGCCACGAGGGAGTCCAGCACCTTAACCACCATGCCACCTGCTGCCCCTGGGACCAGGTATTAAATCCCCGCATTGGCCAGTTGCTGGGTAGAGTGTATCCTGGAGGATTGTAGTGGGCAGGCCAATAGCCTGCCCAGAGAGAGACATGCTTGAGAGGCATCAGTGACTAGTACCCCACGGAGCAGGGAGCAGGGTCATGGGTAAGTGCCTTCACCCTGAAATGGGGTCCAGGAGCACACCCCAGCTCCCGCCGTGTTCTGCGTAGCTGTCCCATAGGCCTTGGGCTGCATGGGAACCTCTGTGGGCTGATGTGCATCTGCACTCATCTTCCCGTGTGCTGGGTCTGATAACGGCCTCGGTTTTCTGCTGATCTTCAGCCTTGTCATCTCTGTCTCCACCACCAGCTTTCTCAGCCATGTGGTTTGAGGAAATGAAAAAGATCAGGGATTTCGAGGTTAGCAGCCAGAGATGTGGGTCATGTCATAAGCCCCGTCTTAGCTGCTTGTGAGACGTTAGCAGGTTTTCTTTTTTAAGAGAGAGATTTTTGCTATAGGGCGCATGCACTCGCCAGAAAGACAGAGAGAGACAGAAAGCGAGAAATCACCCCCTGGGGGGGATGGCCAACCCGCAATCCCTTCTCCTCCATTTTCCTCTCGGGATCTTAGAAACACACACACACATACACACACACACACACACACACACACACACACACGGCATGAGTTTTAAGCTGCCAGGTCTGGGACTCAAACCGTGATCAACTATATGGGAGTCCAGTGACATAACCACTATGCCCAAGATGTTAGTAGCTTTTTCTGAGGAGTTTCAGATTCCCTGCTTGTCCAGCTGGGGTCACAGCTGGGAGCTTCCACAGAGAACGTGGATGAGAAGGTGCTTTGTAAACTCTAAGTGCCATGCGTAGGAAGAAACCCAGTCCTCTAAACCTTCCATCCGGAGGGCCACCATTGTCTCCTAACTATTGTTTGTTTGTTTTTTAAGCTTGTTTATTTCTTTGGAGGGTGGCGGTGCACCCTGAACAGGGTCTCAGTGCCATCATCCATCCTCATCTTCAGCCAGCCCCGGATTGGGGGCACCTGTATGCCTGGTCCATACAGGGAGGCCCACGCCAGGAACCCAAGCCCTTCCCTTGTGGGCCAGCATTGGAGAGCTTCGCATCACTGCGGCTCAGTCAGCCAGCCCAGCGGCTGGTTTCATGTATCTTTCTAATTATTTCACAGTTTTGAGCCCATGGACTTTGGACTTTGAAGGCTTGTCCCAGAACCTTGGGTAGTAATGAGTGGTTCATTTTTGTCTCCTAGGAGCCAACACACCCTATGCCCCCCAGCCCACCAGCTACGACTATGATGCTCCATTGAGCGAGGCAGGAGATCTCACGGAGAAGTATTTTGCCCTGCGAAAGGTGATCCAAAAGGTGCGTGCTTCCTGAGTGCGGTGGTGGGCTAGAGCCTTGCTGTGGTTCTGTCGACATCTTCAAGCCTAGGGCCTCCATGTTGCAAGCGGTGGACAAAGGGAGGTGTCAGCTAGACTTGGGTTTGAATCTCGAGCCCACCTGATTAAAACTGAGCCTCTGAGCAGGTTATTCAGACCCAGTAATTTAGAAAACTGGGATTATAGCCCCTGGGTGTGCTGGAAGGATGAAAAAGGATTTATGGGGCCAATAGGTGGCATGGTGGTTGAGGTGCTTGGACTCCCACGTGACTGACTGAACATAGGTTTGAGTCCTGGACCTGGTGGTTTGCTTTCTCACTTTCCCAGCTCTCTCTCATCACTCTCTGGTAAGCACGCCTGCCTCCTATAGCAAATTAAAATAATAATGATATGTAAAATTAAGTAATTCTTTTCAAACTAGGACTTATGGAAGCCCTCTAGGACAGCCCCGTCACATAGATGCCCTCTAAGTGGTAGTCATTATCATTATTTTTACTAGCAGTAAGTGAATGCGTGCTCACTTATAACCCACGTGGGAAGAGAGCCCTGTGGCCCTGCACGGCATATGCGAACGTGAGTTGTCACTGGTGCTTTATGTTTTATCTGGGGCGAGTGAGTGCTGCTTCCTCCTGGCCTGCACCTGAACTGCCTAGTCCTGCTGGTGTTATAATCCTCCGAGGCACCAGATGCACCCAGGTGGGGTTTCCTGTCTCTGCTGTGGGTAAAACATTTTAAAAAAAAAAGAAAAAAGAAAAACCCACAGTTTTTCTGCTCAGTCACCTGAGTTTTGAAGTTAAAAAAAATAGTTTTTCTGCTTATAAGTGGTATTTTTTTTTTTACTCGTTTCAAGTATGATATAGTCTCTCTTTTAAGCACGTGTTAAAATTATATTATGAAATATTTTAACACGTAGAAAAATAGGATCCCGACTACTCTTAGCATTCATCCGTTTTATCGAACATGTCAAATGCGCATATTGTTCAATTCTTGCACTTTTTTTTTTCACTTGGGGTGTAATGTCTGTGGAATTTATGGTAATGTCTCCAAAGCTTCCTCCCCTATGTTTGTTCTCTTTTGAAGCTTTTTTTTTTTTTAGAGAAGTTTTTGCTGTAGGCACTGCGTTCTTCAGAAAGACAGAGACAGAGAGACAGAAAGTGAGAAATCACCCCCGGGGGGGATGGCCACACCACAATCCCTTATCCTCCATTCTCCTCTCAGAATCTTGGGCACGCACACACGTGTACCCAGCGTGAGTTTAAGCCACCGGGTCCGGGACTCGAACTGCAGTCGACTACATGGGAGTCCAGTGACATAGTCATTATGCCAACTGCTGGTCCCGAAGCTTTTTTTTAAAAAGAATTATTTATTTAAATTTATAAATTCATTTATTTTATTATTACTTTTTTTTTTTTTAATTTGACCAGAGTCAGACACCAGAGAGAGAGAGAGAGAGGGAAAGTGAGAAAAGCAAGCCCCCATGTCTGGGACTCAAACCATGGTTGGCCATGTGGGAGTGTCTAGCCCCTTAACCACCATACCACCTACTGGTCCCCTCTTTGAAACTTTCTGTCCCTACTTCATTATTTCCATTTTTAACTGATGCCTAGCACTTTTTTTTTTTTTTTTAATAAAAAGATTGTTTCTTTTATGAGGAAAAGAGACAGAGAGAGACAGGCACCTTCAGCAGTGTCTCACACCACAGGCCACCTCCGTTCTCAGTCAGCCCAGATCACAGTTTTTTTTAAGCCTTATTTAATTTAAGTTTTTCCCACAGAGCACATGTACTCTCGGGAGAGAGACAGAGGGAAAGTGAGAAATTGCCCCCTGGGGGGGATGGCCGTGCCACAATCCCTTTTCCTCCATTCTCCTCTCAGAATTATGGGCATGCGCACACACGCGCCCTGCCTGATTTTTAAGCTGCCAAGTTTGGGACTTAAACCTTGTTCTACCATATAGGAGTCCAGCGTCTTAACCCCTACGCCACCTGCAGGCTCCAGATCTGGCTCTCTCTTAAAAAAAAAAAAAAAGAATTATTTTATTTAACTTTATTTATTTATTTTAATTTGACCAGAGAGGGACAGAGGGAGAGAGAAAGTAAGAAAGCAAGTTGCCAGGTTCGATACTTGAATTGTGGCCAGCCATATGGGAGTCCAGCACCCTTAACCACCATGCCACCTGCCAGCCCCAGATCTGGCTTTCTTAACCACCAAACCACACAGCCAGCTCCCAGCTCCCTTAACACTAGGTTACAGGGTCATAGTGTTTTGTTTCTAAACATGGTTTTTAAATTAATTAATTTATTTTTTAGTATTTTTGCTGTAGGGCACATGTGCTCACTGGGGAGAGATGAAAACAGAGTGAGGGGGGAAAAGTGATAAATCATTTTGCAGGGGGGATGGCCAAGCCTCAGTTCCTTCTTCTCCAGTCTCCTCTGGGGATTTTGGGCCCATATACACACATGCCTGGTGTGATTTTCAAGCCATAGGGTCTCAGACTTGAATCCCAGAGTCAACCACATGGGATCTAGCTGCTTTAACCTCCATGCCACCTGCTAGTCCCCTAAACATTGCCTATTTTGATTTATCTTTTACCCTTGACATGTTCAGAAGATTTTTAAATTGAAGGTATTTTCTACCTTGTTCACTTTTAACATATTTGCATTCCAAGCATGTAATCTGTGTGCTCCCAGTTCCCTGAAATGGGTTGATTCCAGTCTTGGAGCCTGATGAATACTAATATTAATAAACATTCAGGGGCCAGCCAGGGGTGCAGTGGGAACCCAACACTCAGCAGATGGCATAGTGGTTACATCACTGGACTCCCATGTAGTCAACTGTGGTTCGAGTCCTGGGTCCAGTAGCCTAAAAGTTATGCTGGGTGCATGTGTGTGTGTGCCCAAAATTCCAAGAGGAGAATGGAGGAGAAGGGATTGTGGAATGGCCATCCCCTCTGGGGGTGATTTCTCGCTTTCTGTCTGTCTCTCTCTGGTGAGTGCATGCTCCCTAAAAACAAAAACAAAATGAAGACCTACTAGGTATTACCATAATGGGTTCAGATGGTGATTGACCTTACCTCCATAGTTCATAATTATTCACAAATGATTTTACAAATGTTTGTTAAGTACCCTCTCGGTGCAGCTTTAACTGATTAGTATATGCAGACGTCCTTGGGAAGGGGAAGCTGGAACCAGATGTTAAGGTGGTGAGAGAGCCCTATGCATGTCCCGGGCAAGGGCATTCCAGGCAGAATTCACCAGTAAGAAGGTGGGAAGTGATGGAATTTTTAAGGACTGACAAGGAGGCAAGGGTACCTGGACCCAGCAGATGAGGGGGAGAGAAGCAGAAGATGAGTTCAGAGGGATCAATGGGGAACTGATTCCATAGAACCTTATAAGCTATTTGGAGCCAGGAGGTGGCATGGTGGTTAAGGGCGCTGGACTCCCACATGGCTAACTGCAGTTCAAGTCCGGCACCTGGCAGCTTGCTTTCTCGCTTTCCCTCTCTCTCTCTCACTCTGTCCCTCTCTGGTCAGATTAAAAAGAAATAAATTAATAAATTAAATAATTTTTAAAGAATTATTTAATTTTAGGGACTAGCAGTTAGCGTAATGGCTATGTCACTGAACTCCCATGTAGCTGACTGCAGTTTGAGTCCCGGACCCAGTGGCTTAAAACTCATGCCGGGCACGTGTGTGTGCATGCCCAAGATCCTGAGAGGAGAAAAGAGGAGAAGGGATTGTGGCGTGGGCATCCTCCCTTGGGGATGATTTCTCACTTTCTATCTCTCTGTCTCTGTCTTTCTGGTGTGCACACACGCCCTATAGCAAAAATCTGTCAAAAAAAAAATATCATCTTGAACAAGGTGTCTTGTGATTCACTTGTCATAGAAATGTTTCTACAGAAGCACTGACAGGACCTGTGATACATTAACTAAGCTCTGTTGCTCTAAAGCAGGAGAGTTAACGTGTCTGGTCATTATTCCAGTCATTGTTTATAGGGATAAAGCTTAGGTATAGATTTGCGGAATTCAATCCTGTTGGAAAAGTCCCCAACAGTGCAGGGAGAAGTTGAGATTGCACATGGAAAGCTAACTGGCTTGGGCATGTGTGTGTGCATGCCCAAATCCCAAGAGGAGAATGGAGAAAAAGGGACTGTGATGTGGCAATCCCCCCTAGGGCGTGGTTTCTCGCTTTCTGTCTCTCTGTTTCTGTCTTCCTCATCTCTGGCAAGCCCATGTGCCCTATGGCAAAAAAATCTTAAAAATAAATAAATAAAGTTCCACAGCGTCAACTCCCATGGCCTACTACTAGTTAAGTGAGCCAGATTCCACATGGCCAACCATGCAGTTCTAGTCCCGGACCCAGTGGCTTGAGAAACACACCAGGTACCTGTGCATGCATACCCAAAAACCCTGGAAGGAAGGAGAGAGGGAGAAGGAATTGTGATGTGACCATTCCCCTGGGAGGGTTCTTTCTCTTCTCCCTCTTTCTCTGTCTTTGTTGCTCTCTGTTGAGTATACACACCCTCTAGCAAACAAAAAACCCACGGGGCATATGTGTATGTGTGCCCATAATCTCAACAGGATGGAGAAATGAAGGAGAAGAGATTGTAGCATGACCACCCACCACTAAAAGATTTAGTCTTTCTTACTTACTTTTATTTTGCCAGAAGGCATGCGTACTTGTCAGAGAGAAAGGGAGTGGAAGAAAGTATTCCCGGGGAGTGTGGTCACACTGCAATCTCTTCTCCACAAACTTTATTTTGAGGGGATTTAGGGCACTCATGCCTATGTGCCTGGCATGTTTACTAAGCTTCCTGGGCCAGGGTGTGAATCATACAGTCAGCCATGAGGGATCCAGCTCCCTCAACCACCTGGCTATGTAACTGGTACTAGTAGGCTACTTTCTTATAAGACTTTGTAGACATCTTATAAGATTTGTTAAATGGTGTTCAATATTTGCTTACATTAAGAAAAGGAAATTGGA